CAGAGGGCATTATCGTTTAGGACACCTCCATCACATCCCACCCCTTACCTGGAGTGCACCACACTAATGTGACCTCTCAATCCCCAACCACCCCGGGCGATACGATGGTGGGATGGGAGGGTGCACTCTCTTTGCTGTCATCAGATTCCCAGAAAAAAAATTTGGATGTGAGAAACCCCCTTCCCTTTCCATGGCAAAACCAGATCCTCCTCAGAGAAGCCGTTACTCCCACCAGACATTGTTTTGGGTTCACAGAACAGGGACAGATGTGTGCTCCTTTAGTGCCTGGCAGCCCTTCATCTGCAAGGCAATGACAGTGCCGATTGTAGTGACCACTACACACGGGGTTTAGTAGCAGGAAGAACCAGGCAGGGTGGCTGCCCCCTCCCGAGTTGCAGTGACACAAGCCAGCCACCCTGTGCAGAGGGAAGCCCTGCTGAGGGCAGGAGAGGTAGGCAAGGGGCGCGGGGAGCTGCCCAGGACAGACTTGGCTGGAGATGTCTCTAAAAGCCCTCTATTGCATTCACCTTCAGTTTTTGTGTTTTGGGACAATTACTTTAGGAAATAAGTAGGTCGTTTTAAAACAAAAAAAATATTGATTGCTTTTTTGTAGTGTTCAAAAAAAGGTTCTTTGTGTATAGCCAAATGACTGAAAGCACTGATATATTTAAAAACAAAAGGCAATTTATTAAGGAAATTTGTACCATTTCAGTAAACCTGTCTGAATGTACCTGTATACGTTTCAAAACACCCCCCCCCCCACTGAATCCCTGTAACCTATTTATTATATAAAGAGTTTGCCTTATAAATTTACATAAAAATGTCCGTTTGTGTCTTTTGTTGTAAAATCAAGTGATTTTTTTCATAAGGTTCTTTTACTATTTGAAAAGATGGGCAGCACGCAGTTTTATTTTATTTTTGTAAGTTTTTTAATACGTGTGAAAGCAAAGACTACTCAGCATGCCTTTCTAAGTGACGCGTTTGCACCTTTTGTTGGGAAGTACTGTATCCTTTGCTGTTAGCATTCTCGATAAATCTCTCTGTGAAAGTGACTCAAGGTCTGGGCTTTCATTATCTGACAGCTCACAGGACAGCATGGTGGTGTGTCTCCTGATTCGGTCTGGTTGTCCCTGAACACAGAGGAGAGCCACCGCTTTCAGGACTGCAGTTCCATACACTGCCGCCCCTTGGGTGCCCCGAGGCCACACTTTCCAGGCACACTGCTCCTGCGTGCAAATCTGCCCACTGTGCCCTAGGCCCAGAGGCAGGTGGGCTGCAGGCCTTCTGCACAGTAGCACACGGTAGGGGCACCTCTTAGGTCTACATGTGCCGAGGTGCTTCTGCAGATACAACCTCCCTTCCCCCCTCCCCCCAGCTCAGGCTCCTTCTGTGCTTACTGTTATCAGGAAGACAAGACCTCGGTTCTTGTCTCCTTTTTTTTCTATATATATTTGTATTGATTTCAGAGAGGAAAGGGGAGGGAGAGAGAGAGATCAAAACAGTAATGATGAGAGAGAATCATTGATTGGCTGCCTCCTGCACACCCCTACTGGGGATCAAGCCCACAACCAGGCATGTGCCCTGACCAGGAATCGAACTGTGACTTCCTGGTTCATAGGTTGACGCTCAACCACTGAGCCACACCATCTGGGCTGTTCTTGTCTTCTTGAGGGAAAGATTTCAATCAAGAGACTACGTGTAGAAAAGCAAGCAAGAATGTATTCTCCATAGCAAAAATATCCTGGGGTCCCTTAGACTTTAGTGGATACATGCCTGAGGGGGGAGAGAATAGCATGGGCTTGCTTCCTGGGGGGAGAGCTTTGGGACCTTAATTTTCAGGGGTTTTAAAGGTTGGGTGTTTAGGGGAGGTCTTAAGGGCAGATCAATAGACTATTCATCAGCTTAATGCTGATGTACCAAACAGATTTATTCTCTTGTCTGTCCTTGGGTGTGGTTGGCAAATGGCACTAATTGGATTTCTATCTTCTCCCTGAGTAGGGTGATTTAAGCTATATACCCTCTGGTTGGGGAGGAGAAGTACAAACTATTTATTCTTTTTTTGTTGTTGTTAATCCTTACCTGAGGATATGTTGCCATTGATTTTTAGAGAAAGTGAAAGGGAGGAGGAGAGACAGAGAGAGAGAGAAACATCAATGTGAGAGAGACACATCCATTGGTTGCCTTCTGCACATACCCGACCAGGGGGTCTGCAACCAAGGTACATGCCCTTGACTGGAATCGAACCCGGGACCCTTCAGTCTGCAGGTTGACGCTCTATCCACTGAGCCAAACTGGCTAGGGCCATTTACTCTTTTTTAAAACATTTTTTAAAATTGATTTTAACACGAGGAAGAGAGAAACACCAATGATGAGAGAGAATCATCGATCGTCTGCCTCCCACACGTACCCCACTGGGGATCAAGACAACAACCAAGGCACATGGCCTGACTGAAATCGAACCATTACCTCCTGGTTTATAGGTTGATGCTCAACCGCTGAGCCACACCAGCCAGGCCAAACCATTTACTCTTACGTATCTTTGGTTTAGAGAAGATAGGATTTACTAGGTGGCTGCAAACTGTTGATTAACTATCTGTCTTAATTTCTCTCTTCCACTTGTTCTGGAATTTTCCCAGCTTCTTACTATTCTATACAGTATAACACTATCACCTGAGACCTTCCCACGGCCTCTGCTGAACTGCCTCCCTGCCCAAAGGGGGCGCTGTCATTGCGTTGGCAGGTATCACACCCTGCCTGTGCTTGTTGGCTTTCGCATAAGGCTGTGGGCTCTCAGGAGCTACCTGCCCCACCACAGTCATCCTCACCAGGAAGTACAGGGCTGGAGGGGACAACTGCTCAGTGTCCAGCTTCACATGCAAATGTGGACATATCCATTAGAAGGTGCATTGGAAAGTCCTGGACTTGAATGTTAAAACAAAGGGTTGAAATTCAGCATGTGTGTATTGAGTGTTTCTTGTGTGCCAGGCCTGTCGGGTGCTGCAGTCCAGCAGTGAGCAAGTAGGACCAAGTGCCTGTTCCCTTAGAGCTCGGTGTGTGTGTGCATGATAATTTCCCATACTCAGGGTGTGGCTGGCTGCCTTTTGGGGAGTGGCTGTGGCTTCTGGGAAGGGGTTCCAATGGAGGCCCATATTTGGGTGGACCTGGTTTCTGTTTTGTTTTTTTAATGTATTTTTTATTGATTTTTTAGAGAGAGAGGAAAGGAGAGGGATAGAAACATCCATGAGAGAGAAACATCATTAATCGGCTGCCTCCTGCACGCTCCCCACACGGGATCAAGCCCACAACCGAGGCATGTGCCCTGACTGGGAATCAAATCAGTGACCTCTGGGTTCCTGGCTCAACACTCAACCGCTGAGCTGCACACTGGACCTAGTTTCTGGAAACAGCCCTAAGGCTCTGGGAAGGCGAAAAGCCCTCTGGGGTCAGGACCGAGAGGACAAGGGGGATAGTGAGTGAAGGAGACCTGTTGCCTTGTAAGCGTTCATCTATCTGGAGAAGCAAAAGAAGACTTAGACACCTGGTGCTGCTTGTGGGGGTTTCCCCCCCCTCTAGTGGGGTGGGGGAGGCCCAAGAAAGATGCATCCTAGATGCCAGGCACAGCAGAGGCTGCAGGCAGCTCTGTCGGGCCTAGGGAGCTTTCACCTTAACTTCCACCCTGGGAGCTGTTTGAGCTCAACCTTGGCACATGAGGGCCAGGAAACTGCAAGTGCAAATTCTGCAGGATCCCTGGCACATGCTCCGAACCCTAAGGAGTTCTGGATGGCTTAAGGCTGCTGACGTGCAGAGAGCTAGACATGAGGTGGGAGGGTAGGGGCCACATCGTGACAATGGTGGAGGCTGCACTGAAGAGCTGGGACCCATCAAAGCGCTCCGGAAAGCACAGAAAGGTCTTAAGCAGGAAAGCTCTGTGGCTTGATTTGTGCCTGAGGAAGAACACCAGGGTAGAGAGACAGGCAGGGAAGCCAGGAAGCCAGCATGTTTGTCCAGGTAGTAGTGAGGGCAGTGGGCAGGTGGGGAGGAGATGGACTCCAGAGATGCTCAGGGAGACAGCAGGAAAACAGTGGCTGATGGTGCAGGGTGGAGGGTTGGAGGCTGCAGAGCATTGTGGCAACGGGCAAGAGAGACCAATGTGCCAAGACGTCAAACAGGCTGGGGACTGAGCTTGGTGCCTATCCACTGCTTCAGAAAAGAGGGTGGGAGAAGCCATCCTCACAGGAGTGAGTGCAAACCGAGCCAAAAACGTGACAAGAGGGCAAAGGGACAGCAGGAACTAAAATCCTTTTTTTTTTTAAAGAGAGAAACACAGTTCATGTGGTGGTAGGAAGGAGCCAGCAAGGAAGGAAAAGTGGAAGATATTGCTAAGAGGTAACACGTGCTGGTGCAGGTTCCTGAAGGAGAGGGAAATATGGCATCCAGGGCACAGGAGGTGAGCGAAAATGCTCCGAGTTCGGGCGGGCTGCTGTACAAGTTTCCAGAACGTTCTCCCTGCACCCAGCCACTCGGCCAGCTGACAGGAGTCAGCCCGGGGGCCTTTGTATATGTAACCCTCATCTGACCCTGTTCTGCCGGCATCTCTGAGGACTCTCCAGGCCTCCCAAATAAAGCCAAAACATCTCAATGGGACCTCCCTGTGACTGTCAACAAGGCCCGGCTCCAGCCCTTTCTGGAACGCCCCATGCCTTCGCCACAGCCTCCGTCCTCCGTACTGGGAACCGCTGTCCATCCCCCAGAGCCCCACTCAATGGCCCCTCCTCCTGGAAGCCCATCCTGCCCATCTGAACCCGCACAGTGGCGCTGCCTTCACAGGAAGGAACCGCGTGCGGCGCCCCCGTGTGGCCGAGGGCGGCAGCAGCGGCGGCGGCGGCGGCCGCGATCAGGGCGGCGGGCAAGATGGTGGCGCCCGGGGCACCGCCCCTTCCGCCAGGACGGGCGTCGCACGAGGCTGGCTTAAAGGGGAAGTGAGTCAGTGTCCGCGGACCCGGCCGGCCGAGGCCCCAAGAGGCCCCGGCCTGGCGACGGCGGCGGCGGCGGCCATGGCTGGGGGCCCGGGTCCGGGGGACCCCGCGGCCCCCGGCGCCCAACACTTCTTGTACGAGGTGCCATCCTGGGTCATGTGCCGCTTCTACAAAGTGATGGACGCCCTGGAGCCCAGCGACTGGTGCCAGTTTGGTACGTGGCAGCGGCCGGGACGGGACGGGAGGGGAGAGGGGGCGGGGCAGGGGGCGCGCCGGCCCCGGCCCCCTGCGCCCAGGCCTGATGCCCCCTGTCCCGCAGCCGCCCTGATTGTGCGTGACCAGACCGAACTCCGGCTGTGCGAACGCTCCGAGCAGCGCACTGCCAGCGTCCTGTGGCCCTGGATCAACCGAAACGCCCGCGTGGCCGACCTCGTGCACATCCTCACGCACTTGCAGCTGCTCCGTGCGAGGGACATCATCACGGCCTGTGAGCACGCAGCCCTGGGACCCGGGACCCCGGAGCTGGAGGCCTCTCACGGGGCTCCTCCCCCTGCCAAGGCCTAACCAGCCTTTCCTTCCTTAACGTCGCAGGGCACCCTCCCGCCCCCCTCCCACCCTCCAGCGCCAAGGCCCCAAGGACCTGCTCCATCCCTGCACCCTCTGAGGCCAAGGCCCCCAGCCCCCTGAAGTTACCGTCCTCAGTTTCAACTGCACTCTCCCCAGGTAAGATAGCTCTGGTGTTGGGCTTGATAGACCTGAGGGAAAGGACACCATGACCGTGGCCATGGCTCTAGACCTTGTCGCTGGTCTCTACCTGCTTCTCACTGGTATCTTTATGAAGCTTTTCCAGGCTTCCAGACCCATTCTGGGCCTGAGTGTGGCCCTGTCCCAAGCCCTGCTGCCCTCCAGCCACCGCCACAGTCTCTAGACTCTTCTTCTACCAAGGTAGGTGGGTCCCCCGGAAGGGTTCCAGACAAGGAACAAGAAACCCAGGCTTTGGTACACCAGGGAGCCCCAGCCAGTCCAGCTGGGAGGCAGCTGTGGTGCAGGGGAGCTTGTGGCCAGGGCTGAGGGGAAGAGACAGGACGTCACCTGATTGGGGTCTCTTTCCACAGCAGAGGCCAGAGAACCCCGTGTCCTTCCTGCAAGGGAACCACCCCTCTCCATTCTGCTGGCCCCTCCATGAGATTTCCCAGGGCACCCAGAACTTCTCAGAGGAGCTGAAGATCGGGGAGGGCGGCTTCGGATGTGTGTACCGGGCTGTACTGAGGAACACGGTGTACGCTGTGAAGAAGCTGAAGGAGGTGGGTGTAGCATCCTGGCGAGGGGCCCTGGAAGGCTGACAGCAAACCCTCGCCTTTCTGATCTTCCCCCTGCTTCCCACACAGCCCTCCAATTCCCCAGCCCCTTGGTTGTTCTGGGCCCAGGACAGATGGCACTGGGAGTGGCCATCAATCCTTGGCTATAAGAGATTCATGCTGCGCCCCCCCCCCGCCCCCATTTTCCCTGGGGGCACAGGAGGCCGACCTGGAGTGGACCACTGTGAAGCAGAGCTTCCTGACCGAAGTGGAGCAGCTGTCACGGTGAGCCTGGGGCGGCCCTCCAGGACCACACACCACGGGACCAGCTCCCTTGGATACGGAAACCTGCCCGGCCCAGCCTGGCTGAGGGACCAGTAGGGACTGCTCACCCCCGCTACAGCGAGACGGAGGCTGGGGGCCAGAGCACTCAGGCCCCACTTTTCCAAGCAGGTTTCGTCACCCAAACATCGTGGACTTTGCTGGCTATTGTGCTCAGAGTGGCTACTACTGCCTTGTCTACGGCTTCCTGCCCAACGGCTCCCTGGAAGACCGCCTCCACTTCCAGGTAGTCTCACCTGGCCTGGCACGCTTTCCCAGAGCTGCAGCACCTGGGCAGAGTGGGCAGGAGGCCCGGGCTCTCGGCCTCCATGAGTGAGTCCCACCAGCAGGCAGGGCCTGGGCTCAGTCTTTGGCCCAAGGTGGGTCACCATTTTCCGTGGCCTCTCCCTGACTGTTCCTGTATGCCCGGGAGCTGGGCCTTGGTGCCTCTCAAAAGGGAGTTACTGCCGAAACCGGTTTGGCTCAGTGGATAGAGCGTCGGTCTGTGGACTGAAAGGTCCCAGGTTCGATTCCGGTCAAGGGCATGTACCTGGGTTGCAGGCGCATCCCCAGTAGGAGATGTGCAGGAGGCAGCTGATCGGTGTTTCTGACTCTATCCCTCTCCCTTCCTCTCTGTAAAAAATCAATAAAATATATTATAAAAAATTTAAAAAAAAGGGAGTTACTGACTCACAGGAACCTGGCTCAACCTTCTCCTCTTTTTAAAAAAATAGATTTCTATTGATTTCAGAGAGGAAGGGAGAGGGAGAGAGAGAAACATCAATGATGAGAGAGAATCATTGACCGGCTGCCTCCTGCACGCCCCACATGGGATTGAGCTCGAAACCCAGGCATGTGACCTCCAGGTTCAAAGGTCGACGCTCAACCACTACGCCACGCCTCTTTGCAAACAGAGTAGCTGAAGGGTGTTGTCAGCATTGCCATTGAGGAAAGAGGGCAGTGGGCAGCAGGCTGCACTCTCTGGACCCACATTTGGGCCCCTGTCCAGTGAGGTGCCCACAAGACACAGGGGTGAACTGCACACTGTGTCGGGGGAAGTGGAGAGAAAGCCTCCAACGATGTCCCGATCATCCTGAGACAAATGAATGAACTTCAGGAACTGAGAACCGCCGAATTGTATGCTGACAGAGAGCGTGTTCCTAGCCACTTTCCCAGCGTGCTTTAATAAAGCAGTGGAATAGCTTGTCTCAGTTCCCTTGTAAAGTAGCTCATGGGGTGAAGTGTTTGTCCAGATCCCACAGTGACAGGTGGAGGGAGGGTTGGGGTTAAGGAACGGTGGCCCCCAGCCTCCCCCGTGCCCCTTTGCTCCCTCTGCTGCCCTAGACCCAGGCCTGCTCCCCTCTCTCCTGGCCTCAGCGCCTGAACATCCTTCTGGGCACAGCACGGGCTATTCAGTTTTTACATCAAGACAGCCCCAGCCTCATCCATGGAGATGTCAAGAGGTAAGGAGGGGACACAGCCAGGCCCCTGGGTCCCCTGAGAGCTGCAGGAGTGGAGTCTATGGCAAGGCAATGATGCTCCCAAACCTTCCACCAGCAGGGAATGTGGTCCAGGGGAGCCCCGCCCCGAGTGCCCCTCATGAAAATGGGCCTGCCCTCTCCTGCTCAAGGTGGAAGCGGGGGACAAGGTGCAGCCCTGAGGCCTGGGACATCACAGCTGGGGGCCAGGGTCACTGAGTGCCTGGCATGGGACAGATGTGGAAGCAAAAGCCAAGGACCGGCCCCCCACTGGTGTGCAGGGGCTGAACTGTGCAAGGGTGCCCTGGGCGCCGCTTGCAACCCCCAGGTAGCGGATTGTTCTGAGAGTACCAACCGCTTTGTGTGGGCACGGTGCGGTTTGGCGGCTTTGAGTCCAATGACATCAGGGCCAGGCAGGTGTGGGAGGGTAGAGCGAGCTGAGACCAGGGCCAAGCTCACAACTTTCCCTTCTCCCCTAAGTTCCAACGTCCTTCTGGATGATAGACTGATGCCCAAACTGGGAGACTTTGGCCTGGCCCGTCTCAGCCGTTTTGCAGCAGCCAACCCTGGTCAGAGCAGCACCGTGGCCCGGACGCAGACGGTGCGCGGCACCCTGGCCTACCTGCCCGAGGAATACATCAAGACAGGGAGGCTGGCCGTGGACACCGATACCTTCAGCTTCGGCGTGGTGAGCCATGGCCCCCTCTGCTGGCTGGAGGGGGGCAGCTGAGGCCAGCCAAGGCAGAAGGGCCTGGAGAATTCCATGTGGAGACAAGGCCAACCTGCAGGAAGCTAACGGAGCTTCAGCTGCAGGCCCCTCCCTCCCTGGCGTGGGCCCCTTCTTTGGCCCTGTTACCTCATTTCATATTTGTCATTTTGCTTTTTTAAAATAAATTTTTATTGATTTCAGAGAGGAAGGGAGAGAGAGAAAGAGAAGCATCAATGATAAGAATCATTGATCCGCTGCCTCCTGCACGCCCCCTACTGGGGTCCGAGCCCAAAACTCGGGCACATGCCCTGATCAGGAATAGAACCGTGACCTCCTGGTTCATAAGTCTACGCTCAACCACTGAGCTACTCCTGCTGAGCTGTCATTTTGCATTCTTTTTCTTTAAGTTGGTGCTCCGTACTGTCAAAGCTTCAGTCCCATGACATCTAGCTCTGTCCCTGTAGTGTGCTGGTCCTGATTGGCCCATCCAAGGGCCTCGCCAGTATGTCTACCCCACAAGCCACCTCTCCTTGTAGCCCTCCCCACCAAGGCCTGGGGCGGCACCATCCCAGAAGCCACTGCTGTGCCCTTCATCCTGCTCTCTCTCCAGGTAGTTCTGGAAACCCTGGCTGGCCAGAGGGCTGTGAAGATGCATGGTGCCAAGACCAAGTACTTGGTGAGCCTCCTCAGGCAGGGGAGGGAAGGGGGCAAACAGGAAGCATGAGGGGCAGACAGGGAAGGAGGTGGGGCGGGGGGGGGGGGCAGAGAGGCACTGCTCCTGACAACCAACAGGTGCAGCCCTGGAGGGTGGAATGTTCTGGAATGCAACCACAGAAGCCAACCTTTGCTGCTGCTGACTCACCTTTGAAAGTACGCAGGGCACAGGCAGCTTCCTTTACCTTGCTGAAGAGAAACCTGTCTTTCTTCTGTAGATGCTCTGTGCTTTTCCAGACCCCACCCGGGCTGGGGGGAGGGGAGGGGGCGTCCCAGCAAATGCCTGCTCTTTCTGGACCCCTTTCTGAACCAATGCGGAAACAGACTTAATTCCCGAGCAGCACTTTACCAACGGGTGTACCTCCGGCTTCTTCTGCTCCTGGCTTGGGGCTGTTTCTGTCTATTGCCAAGTCTGGGCCAGGAACCAGAGAGCCAGACGGGAGCCCTCCTTCCCTCACCTTCCACACCCATCGGCACATCCCACTAGGGCTGCTCTCTATTGTCATCACCACCCCAACTCCTCAGGGGGTCTTTCTTTGTTCTTCTTTGGATCCTTTCTATTTGTTCTCTGTGCTGCGGCCAAATTAATCGTTTAAAAATATAAAGAGCCCTGGCCCTGTAGCTCAGTTGGTTGGAGGTTGTGGGTTTGATCCCAGTCTGGGCTCCTACAGGAGTCAACTAATGAATGCATTAATAATTGGAACAACGGGTCAATGTTTCTCTCTCTCTCTCCCTCCCCTGCTCCCCTCCCTTCTCTTCTCCCTCCCTCTCTTCTTCTTTCTCTAAAACAGGGGTGGGGAATGTCCAGCCCGCAGGCCTTATAAGGCCCTTGAAATCATTTGGTCTGGCCCTGCCAAGGCATTAGGGGTGAGTTAATGAAATGTTTGACCAAATACAGCCGGCTAATTGTTAAGCTGATGATTTTGTATGGCCTGAGAAGGATGTTAAAAATATCCAAGTGGCCCTTGCCAGAAAAAAGGTTCCCCACCCCTGCTCTAAAATCAGTAGGAAGAGGGAAAATGTAAAGAGAACATGGAAGCACCTTTGCTCTCCCACTGTACTGGGGGTGAAGGCCCGATGCCTGAACGCAGCCTCAACTCCCCGGGTCCCACCACCCCCAGCCTTCTCTCTGTCCTCTAGTCTCCCTGCTGCCTGTCCTAGGGCCTCAAAAGCCACCCCCCACTCAGGTGCTTCCTCCTGGTCCTTCCTCTCTCAGAACTCAAAGTGGCCTCCAGTCCTGGGGTGTCTCTCCATGGTATGTCCCCCTTCTTGGTTCTGCCCTCTCTGGTTAACCCATGCCTTCGGAGCCCAGCTCAGGTGCCACTTGCTCATGAGCCGCCATTGCTTTTCTAGGCTTGTTGTTGGCATCTCTCCCCTCTAGGAAGTCCACTCTGTGAAGGTGGCCCAGGCTGTTCTGTTTGTCACTGTATCCCTAGGGCCTGGGGCAGTTGTGGGCATACAGTGGGTGCTTAACCAACCAAAGCGAGACCACAGGAGTCAGTGACCGCGGGCCTGGGGAATTCAGCCAAAGGCACTGCCTCCCTAGTGGCCATGCTCACAGTGTCTGTCCCACAGAAAGACCTGGTTAAAGAGGAAGCTGAGGATGCCGGGGTGGCCCTGAAAAGCACCCAGACCACACTCCAAGCGGGTCTAGCCTCAGATGCCTGGGCTGCCCCAATCGCCTCCCAGATCTACAAGAAGCACCTGGACCCCAGGCCTGGGCCCTGCCCACCCGAGCTAGGCCTGGCCCTGGGCCAGCTGGCCTGCTGCTGCCTGCACCGCCGGGCTAAGAGGAGACCCCCCATGACCCAGGTATCCTAGGGGAGGGGTCAGAAAGCATTTGAGGCACCTCCTGCCCATGGGGTCAGTGGCCTGCTGGGAACCCCACATTCCTGGCACTGCCCGGAGCGAGCCAAACAGCACCTGCCAGACATCTTTCTGGAGACCGAGTCTCCATATATTTCTCACTTAGCCGTTGGTTCTGCCTGGGGTGGCAGGAGCTCCACTGAACCCTGCCTGGTGTATAGAGGCTAAGGGCTTTTGTTGTGCCCCCTTCTGGATGTACCGCACCACTGCACCTGCCTTTTTCTGTCCCTTCCCTGGCCTCCACCTCTTTCCCTCTGACAGTTGAGAATAGAGAAGCCCCATTTGAGGGCACCAGGGCAGTGAGATTTACGTTCATTTTTTGAAATATATTTTTATTGATTTCAGAGAGGAAGGGAGAGGGAGAAAGAGATAGAAACATCAATGATGAGCCCTAGCTGGTTTGGCTCAGTGGATAGAGCATTGGCCTGTGAACTGAAGGGTCCCAGGTTCAGTTCCGGTCAAGGGCACATGCCTGGGTTGCAGGTTCGATCCCCAGCATGGGGTGTGCAAGAGGCAACCAATCAGTGATTCTCACCGTTGGTGTTTCTATCTCTCTCTCCTCTCCCTTCCTCTCTGAAATCAATTTTTTTAAAAAAGAAACATCAATGATGAGAATTGATCAGCTGCTTCCTGCACGCCCCCCACAAGCATGTGCCCTGACCAGAAATGGACCCATGACCTCCTGGTTCATAGGTCGACGTTCAACCCCTGAGCCACGCCTGCCAAGCGAGATTCACTTTCTAGAAGAGAGAAGTCATTCTCAGTCCTTAGCTTTGGTGGCTGTGACTCAGCGCTCCTTGGGGCAGGGACATGGGGACAAGGGACAGAGCTTTCCCAGCTGCAGGATATACCATCTTAGTGGGCCCCGCAGCCTCCAGAGCGGCTGTGTGGGGCCTGGGGTGGCAGCCCAAGCCCCAAGGCAGGTCACAGATGCCCTGGAGCAGCCTTGCGGTTTGAGCGTCTCCCGTGAGGGCTGTCATTGATCATGGCCTAACTGGTCTGCCCAAGAGCAAGGGAGAGCCCACCCACCACACACCCTGAACCCCTCTTTCTCCTCACAGGTATACGAGAGGTTGGAGAAGCTTCAGGCCACAGTGGCAGGGCCGCCCCTGGAGGCAGAGGCTGCCGGCCGCAACCCCCATTCCCCACAGGAAAACTCCTACATGTCCACCACCAGCAATGCCAGTCCCTGGCAGCCCCTGGCAGTGCCCTCAGGAACCCCGGCCCCGGCGACAGAGCGGCTCCAGAAAGGCCCCAACCAGCCCGTGGAGAGTGACGAGAGTGTGTCTGGCGTGTCTGCCACCCTGCATTCCTGGCACCTGACCGCAGGCTGCCCCCCGGGCCCAGCCCTGCCAGACAGCCCTGCACAGGGGGCCGCCACGTGGACCCCTGCACCCCTCGGGCAGGCCAGCTGTACTCAAGCGAGTGCCGCCCGAGAGTCATGGGGGAGCAGCCCAGAGCCCTGGCCCACGGCTGTGGAAGGTAGCTGGGGACAAGTGCCCAGAATAGGGACCAGGGGCCTCCTTTGGCAGCGATCCCCATACCTTGCACCCCCAGCCTCTGGGATGAGGCCACTGTGGCCTGCTATAAGCTCACTCTCTCCCTAACCAGCTCCAGGCCTCTGTCTTAGGGCAGGTGGCCTGCCCAGCCTTGGAAAGGGGCGCACAGGACAGCTCGGTGCTGTCATCTCCCCAGGCCATACCCCCCAGGTGGTGAGAGGAAGCCAGGAGCTCACTTCCTGAAAGCTGGGGACAAGGAAGACTCTGTTCATGGCCACCAGCCTCCTGGCCTCTCTGGGAGCGGGAGCCCGGGAGCCGTGGGGCAGCCCCTCCTAGGCCCTGCCCTCGAGGCACCCAGGACTTCTGCCCTGAGGGGCCAGAAGCTAGGCTGGGGACTGGGAAATCTTGAGAGACTGAAGTGTCTGTGAGGAGTGCCTAGGGACAACAGCCCCTGAAGCTAAGACATTGCTCTCTCTCTACCCCAGGATCACTCCTGGGCAGTTCTGCATCATCGCAGCCACCGCAGATTGTCATCAACCCAGCCCGACAGAAGATGGTGCAGAAGCTGGCCTTGTATGAGGACGGGGTCCTAGACAGCCTGCAGCTGCTGTCGTCCAGCTCCCTCCCAGGTACCCTGTGTTCACTCTGCAGCTGGACGCTCGGCCTCGTGCCAGCCCCAAACAGCAGTGTTCTTTCTGATGGTGCACCGATGAGGCCCCCGCCCCCCCAGGGTGTGGGCCAGTGCGGAGGCAGGCCACCCACCCCGTCTCACAATGGCTGGAAGCCCAGCCTGGCCCTGTGCCTCCCTCATTTTCTTCTGGAACAGCACCTTCCCTTAGCCCTGGGGTGCCAGTGCCCCCGTTTGCTTCCAGCAAGCATTTTCCATGCAGGTGCGATTTGAACAAGGAATAGAAACCCCTCATTCCAGAGAGCATCCTGGGAGCTGAGGGGAGCCATGGCCCAGCCCTGTGGCAGTCAAGGAGGCTCCCCCATTGACTAACTGGCATTTCCTCCCCCTGCAGGCTTGGGCCTGGACCACCGAAACAGGCGGGGCCCGGAAGAGAGTGATGACTTTCAGAGCTGATCTCTTCACCCAGACAGATCCCCCAAACCCGGAAGTCAAAGTTCTCATGGTTGGAAGTTCTCATAGCACACACAAACCCTCAGAAGCCTGTGGGCAGTAGGGATGGGGCCCCAGCCTCGCAGGGCAGAGCAGGTGTGGCCCCTGTGCTGTAGGGGTGTGGGCACAGGCCAGACTCAGAGCCACCCGGGCCGGCTGCCGGAAGCCGTCATAGGGCAGGACATCTCAAAGGCCTGCCTTCAGCACAGCACTTGGGGGAGAGGAAAGCCACTGTCATGGGAGGGGTGTGTGGGGGAGGAATGCATGTCTGAAGGCTGCTGGCTGCCCAGGCCAGAGGAGAGTGGGTGGGACCACTGGTACAATGGGAGGCAGCGGGGAGCTGGCTCCCCTGAGGGCTGGGCAAGGCCTATGCAGCCCAGGCCAACAGCAACAGCCCGTAGCCCTTCCCTTCGTCCTTGGCTGAAGCCCTATGAGAAAGCGGCCACTCTGGGCCCTCCCAGCTGCTTGTGACGTGGAAAAGTGAGGTGTGGTTACCCTATGGTTCAGTCCACCAGCTAGAAGTGAGGGTTCTGAGATACCCCAGAGAGTCCAGCAGCCCACATCAGGCCAGTGTCTGTAGGCTTCTCCAAGGAGCTGGGAGCAAGCCTAACATGACTGCCTGCCAGCCAGGCCACCCCTGGATGCTACGGACAGGCTCCAAACCAAGTCAGCCTCCAGAGGCTGCAGGCTCGGCATCAGGCCCAGGCTGATGGTCACAAAGGGGCCACTTCTCAAGGTTCGCTTAGGCCCGAGTCCTGTGTTACCCAGACAGAAGCCCCAAAGCAAGAAGTTGGGATCAAGACAGAGAAAGAGGAAAAAGAAAACGGGACTCGCAGTTTTAGAAGCAAGTGAAGTTTCATGAAAAGGAGTGTCGTCAAAAGTAGCCCAGGGCTGTAGCACAGGCTTACAATGATTTTGTGTCCACAGTCATGACACACTACATGCCCCACAAAGCTAGGCATCGGTGAAGTCCAAGTTGTACTACAGCAATAAAATCTTACGTTTCAATCTCTGGTTGTACTGGTGGAGTTTATTGCACTGAAAGCTTCAAGCTTTCCCAATGCTTTTCAACTCAGGGTTCCTGACTGCCCAGCACAAAACACCAGACCCCCGCTCCCCCCAAATCCTCTGGAGGCTCTTATTTCTGTTCCCAGTAAGTCATCATACTGGTGGCAGGTCCACAACACCACTACCCATCAGTACTCTCATGGGTTGTTAAATTTTCCCTATATATTTTATAGGGTTTTTTAAAAATATGTTTTTATTGATTTCAGAGAGGGAGAAATAGAAACACCAATGATGAGAGAGAATCATTGATCGGCTACCTCCTACATGGCCCCCTCCTGGGGATTCAACCTGCAACCCAGGCATGTGCCCTTGACCAGAATTGAACCTGGGACCCTTCATTCCGCAGGCCAACGCTCTATCCACTGAGCCAAACCCACTAGGGCTAGTTTATGGGTTTTAATACTATTGTAAATGGTACCTTGATAGCATTTTCTAATTGGTTATTGATAATGTATAGGAAAACAATTGAGTTTTATCTATTGGCTCTGTATTCTGTGACCTTGCTTAAATTCACTTAATTAGCTTTAGCAGTTTTCTGGTAAAATACCTTGGGATAGTCTGTACACAATCACTTCATCTGCAAATAAAGGCAGTTTTAACACTTCCTTTCCAATCTGCCTTTTAGTTCTTTTTCTTGCCTTCCAGCACTAGCTAGAGCCTCTAATCAAATGTTAAATACAAGTGGTGAAAGTAGACATCCTTGCCTTGTTCTCAATTGTAGGTGCAAAGTGTTATCTTTCCCCATTAAGTATGATGCTAGCTGTAGGATTGTCAAACACTTCTTTTGTCAATGTGAAACACATCCATTGATTTTAAATATTAAACCAACTTTGCATTCCCTAGATAAAAAGAGCACTTGCTAAATTTCGTTTGCTAATCTCTCTCGAGAATTTTTGCATTTATGTTCATGAAGGATATTGATCTGTAGTTTTCTGGTAATATCTTCATCTGGTTTTGGTATCAAGGCTTCATAAAATACATTCGAAAGTGTTCCCTTCTCTTATTTTCTTAAAGGGCTTGTATATGCTTGGTGTTAATTTCTTTAAATGTTTGATGGATTCACCAGTGAAAGCTTCTGGACCTGGAGTTTTCTTTGTGGGAGATTTTAAATTACAAATTCAATTTCTTTAATTATCTATCAGCCCATTCAGGTTTTCTGCTTCATATGTCAGTTTTAGTAATTTGTGTCTTTCCAGGAATTTGCCTATTTTATCTAAATTATAAAGTTAGTAATCCCCCCCCTTATCATCTTTTACACCTGTAGGTACTATAGTGACATCCCCTTTCATTCCTGATATTGGTAATTTGTGTCTTTCCTTTTTTTCATCATCCTCTATCAGCAATTTTCAACCTTTTTCATCGCATGGCACACATAAACTAATTACTAAAATTCTGCAACACACCAAAAATATTTTTTGCCAAACTGACAAAAAATAGGTATGATTTTGATTCATTCACACTAAATAGCTATTGTGTTGGCTGTTGTCATGTTTTCATTTGACAGTCTAAGGGAAAAGAGGTCAGTGCCCTGACTAAATAGTCAGGTACTGCATGTTTTGAAAATTCTTGGCAGCACACTGGTTGAAAATCGCTGTCCTAGATAGCTTATCGATTTTATCAAATATTTTCAAAGTACCCAATTTTGGTCTCATTGATTTTTCTCCATTATTTACCCATTTTCTATTTTGTTAATGTCCACTCTTTACCCTTTCTTTTACTTACTTTGGAGTAATAAAACTTATTTTGGTTTTCATTTGCTCACCTTTTTCCAACTTCTTAAAATGTAACCTTAAAATAATTGGTTTTAAACCTTTTTTTTTCTAACATAAACAATTAAAGCTACAAATTCCCTTTGAGAACAGCTTTAGTTGAATTCTACTTATTTGGATATGTTCTGTTTTAATTATCATTCAGTTCATAATGTTCTCTTCCCCTGCGATTACTTCTTTAACTAATGTCTTACATAGAAGTACATTGAGTTCCCAAATATTTGGAGATTCTGCAGATACCTTTTTGTTATGTGTTTTTAATTCCATCGTGGTCAGAGAATTTACTCTCTATGATTTTATTCCTTTTAAAATTATTGAGACTTAGCTTGGTGAATGTTCCGTATATATTTTGTTGTTGTTGTTGTTGTTAATCCTCACCCGAGGATATTTTCCCATTAATCTTTTTAGAGAGAGTGGAAGAGAGAGGAAAACATCAATGTGAGAGAAACACATTGATTGGTTGCCTCCTGCAACCATCGATTGTTGCCTCCTGCACGCACCCTGACCAGGGCCCGGGAGGAGCCTGCAACCAAGGTACATGCCCTTGACTGGAATCGAACCTGGGACCCTTCAGTCTGCAGGCCAACGCTCTATCCACTGAGCCAAAACGGCTAGGGCTGTTCCATGTATATTTTAAGAGTATATATTTTGCAGTTGGGTGGAGTATCAATTAGGTCAAGGTGGTGGATAGCGTTGTTCAAGTCTTCAGTATCCTTGCTGATTTTCTGTCAATTCTCTCTGGCAGACTGAGAGGAAATATCACAGTCTCCAATTGTAATGGTGGATGCGTCTTTCTCTTCTCAGTTCTGTCAGATTTTGCAGCATCTATTTTGCATTGGGTGCATACACATTGAGGATTGTTAAGTTTTCTTGAGAAATTGACCCTTTTATTATCTGGATATGCCCCCTCTTTATCTCTGGTAATATTCCGATGTCTGCTTTGTCTGGTATGAATATAGTCACTCCAGCTTCTTTTTTTTAAATACATATATATTTTTTAATTTTCTTTATTGATTAAGGTATTACATATGTGACCTTATTGCCCCATTGCCCCCCCCCACCCCCCACTCATGCCCTCACCCCCCGGTGTCTGTGTCCATTGGTTAGGCCTATGTGCATGCATACAAGTCCTTTGGTTGATCTCTCCTCCTTACCCCCACCCTCCCCTACCTTCCCTCTGAGGTTGACGGTCTGATCGATGCTTCTCTGTCTCTAGATCTGTTTTTGTTCATCAGTTTATGTTATATTTTTTATTGATTTTAGAGAGAGAGGAAGGGAGAGAGGGGGGGAAACATCAATGCAAGAGAGAAACATCGATCAGCTACCTCCCTGCCTCCTGCATGTACCCTGACCGCAAACCAGGTATGTGCCCTGACCCAGAATTGAACTGGTGACCTTTTGGTGCACAAGACGGGACTCAACCAACTGAGCCACACCAGCCAGGGCCAGCCCAACTTCTTTATACTTAATTTGTTTTGCCATATAATTTTTTCTCTTCTTTTAACCTATCTGTGTCTTTATATTTAAAGTGCACTTTATAAGATAACGTATGGTTTCAGCTTACTTTTGGAACCAGTCTGATAATATCTGCCTTTAATTGGTTTGTTTAATCCATTTACATGTAATGGTTGAGCTCAAGTCTACCATCATGCTATTTGTTTTCCATTTGTTCCATCTGTTCTTTGTTCCTTGTTTCCTTTGTTCCCTGACTACTTTTGGATTAATCAAGTGTTTATGATGTTCTACCTTTTCTCCACTATTGGCTTATTCACTCTAATAACTGGTTCTGCTCAAGAACCCCCTTTCTGCCCAGCTGGCGTGGCTCAGTGGTTGAGTGTCATCCTATGAACCAGAAGGTCACAGTTCGATTCCCGGTTGGGGCACATGCCCAGGTTGCGGGCTTGATCCCCAGTGGGGGATGTGCAGGAGGCAGCCAATCCATGTTTCTATCCTATCATTGATATTTCTATCTCTCTCTCTTCTCCCTCTCCCTTCCTCTCTCTGAAATCAATAAAAACCAATTTTTTTAAAAGGAAAGAAGTGTTTGTTTATAGATTAAACAGTACATTAGACATGAACTGTATATAAGAAAGGTCAAAATGGAATCATTTGGGGTCTGGAAGGAATTAATTCAATTTACATTATTTCTAATGGGAAAAGATGATTTGGTTTTCAAACAAATCGTTTCTCGAAAAGCCTTCCAGAACAAATCAAGTCTGAGAGCCAAGGTTCCATTGTAATTCTTCACTCTTCAGGTCACCCCATCTTGTTCCTGCCTGATCAATTCCCCCCTTGCTCCTGGATCTATTTTCATCAAATATGTTCCATTCTTTTTTTCTTTTCAAAATATATTTTATTGATTTTTTACAGAGAAAAAAGGAGAGGGATAGAGAGTTAGAAACATCGATGAGAGAGAAACATCGATCAGCTGCCTCCTGCATACCCCCTACCGGGGATGTGCCCGCAACCAAGGTACATGCCCTTGACCGGAATCGAACCTGGGACCCTTGAGTCCGCAGGCCGACGCTCTATCTACTGAGCCAAACAGGTTAGGGCAAAATATGTTCCATTCTTGAAGAGGTCATTTGACCCAACACCTCTCTCCAATCACAACGCTAATTCTATGTTACTCTTTATAGCCAAACTTCTCAAAATAATTACCTATTTCCTCACTTCTTCTCTTTTCAACCCCTTCTAATCTGGCTGTGACCCTACCATTCCACCAAAGTGGTTTCTAAGACACCAATGATCATGTTGCCAGTTCCAGTGACCCTTGTCTGACGTCATCCTATGGGCCTCTTGGCGCCCACACCCCCTCTGACTGCGCTCCTCTGGCAACCTTCCCAACATGCCCTCTCTTGTCTCCTCTCCTCAACCTCTACAAGGTAGGAGTCCCTCAGGGCTCACCCTGGACCCTCTTTGCTACCTCCACTCACGCTTGTAGTGAACTCACTCATTCTCATGGCTCTAAAGACCATCTATCTATTGACCATTCCCAAATAACATGTCCAACAATGAACTCCCCTCTGAGCTTTTCATACTTCCACATGCCTGCGCAGGCATGGCTGCTGATGTCTCTCAGGTGCCATAGCTTAACTGACAAAAGAGAACTTGGGATTTCCAGTTGCCACAAGTTTGCAGTCTCTGTGTGGCCCTACCACCACCTTCCCACC